TGATAGAGAGGATGCAGACCCCCACGGAGACCTCTGCAGCGTAAGTACCTTGGGTGGTGCTGCTTTCCCAAAGCCTGGAACAAGCAAACAATTCGGTTTCCTGCTTCAGATCTCTCTTAGTTTGTCCATTGCCAAGTTGTTTGTTGGGGCTGGGCTTCTGGGTTGGTTTTTTTGGTGGTTTGGTTTCATTTTGTTTTTTTAACTCGGGGCTTATTGCTATTCCATTGTCAATAGTGCGTAGCAGAAAGAGCTGAGATTTAACAGAACTAAAACTCTTTGGAACCTCAACAACAGGCCGTGTGTTGTGGCTGATGTGCTTTCACAACCCCTTTCTTTCCAGTTTTTCCAGTATGGCCTGAATTCTGTGGACAGACTCTTTCCTGGCCTGCCGAACACTGTCCTGGCCACCGGTCTCGATGGAATCCAGATCCAACAGCAGCTTGGTCAACATCTCCTCCAGAAGCCGGTAGGAAAAAAATCCCCACCAATTCATCCACCTCTTGCTCCAGCTGTTCAGCCTCCCCCATTACGTGGAGGATTCTCTGAATCTCTGGTTGGATGGCTACAGAATTCGTTGGTGGGTGCTCACCAGGTTTAAAGCCACCCTCCCGGTTCCGAGACGCGCTGTCGTACATTTGGGGCTGCGCGCTGTACTGCACCTTGGGGTTTGGGGGGGACGGCTTGGCGTTGAGCGGAGTGGCTGGCCTGTGGTCATTCACTGTCCTGCTGTGCTGGTGGTTGACATCGGAGTAGTAGCGGTGTTGGTTCGCGCTTTGCTCGGGTTTGTCGTAAGCAGTATCCTACGGGAGGAAAAAAAAAAAAGAAAAAAAACCAAACCAAACCTTTAAGCGCGTTTCTCTTGAAGGAAAGGGGGGTTTAATCTCTCGTCTCGCACTCAAAAGGCAGGCAGGGCCGAGGGAACTGGGCGGCAGGGGAGGCTGCGGCTGCTCGGAGGAGCGCACGCCTGGGAGGACGGGACAGACCCGGTTAGGCATGACGCTACCGGGGGTCCGGGCACCATTTGCTAAACTATCACACACCATGACGTCATAGCACATCACGTCCCCACAGGCTGGGAA